CCAGGCCGTGGTGACCGAGTTCGTTAGCTTCCGCACCGCACCTACACAGATATTTATGGTGGACCGTTAAACCCAGACGAAAACCAATGGCCATCCTGACCGTCTCATCATCCAGTCGGGTACCCACCGATGAGTTGGGCCAGGATCTCAACCAACCGCAGCTCGCGTCGCTTGACGCGGCCAGCAGACGAGCCGAAGTTGCATCGTCGGGACTAGAGGACAACAAAAACTGAAAAGTTGTTTTGTATGCCTCTTCCAGCAACCGAGCTTGAAAATGTTTTGCTCGGTTGGGTGATGCTGGTAGGGTACCAAGATTCGTGAAAGATTGCCGGAGCAGGGCAGACTGCAGGTCGAGCGTGGCAGCGGCAGATGATTTGTAAACAATAGGTGCCAGCTGGACTACGCTTAACAACCCCAGTCCCCCAAACCGAACCGGCAACTGGGCCTGAGACCAGCCCCTGTCTGTCAACTCAACATTGCATAGGGCTGACAAAGCTGACCTCAGGGCGCCATCGAATCCGCCCAAAATGGATGCATCAACCGAGAAGGATGTACGAAGGAAATACATCAATCTAGGCAAACTAAGGGCGTTGCGGACGATGGTCAGCGCGTCGTGGACCGGAAGATGAGACACTCGGTCGAGGGCGAATTTCAGCTCTGCGAGTTTTTTATTAAAAAAAGATGTTTTGAAACTCACCCTCCATCAATGGGGTGCCCAAGAAGCTCAATGATGCCTCAGACACTAAGGGCACTTCCGCCAGTGTCTGTGGCATTTCAAAAGAGTCGTTTGCGTACAATTCGCATTTTTTAATATTAAGCTCAAGCCCAATGATGGAGGCATTGTCTTTTAAAGACAGGAAATCAGTAGCTAAAATTGCACCCTTGGCGGCCAAACTGATATCGTCCAGGTAGCCGCAAACGAATTTTGAAAGAGATTTTTCCAACACCGGGTGTAGGGTCAGAGCAAACAACATCGGCCCCAAAGGGTCACCCTGTTGCACCCCCTCGGACGATTCCATCACCCAGGTGTTATAACCAAGAGAAGAGATTCGGCCATATGCGGAGTGGCAGTAATTGTAAATTTGGGGACAGAGCCGTTTGACTGCCTCCAGCATCGAATCTCTCCTCAGGGTATTAAAGGCATTCCTGAAGTCAATTTTTAAAAAACCCCATTTATCGGGTAAGTCCAGAACCAATTTACGGGCCGCATGTACGGCCGCCTCTGCTCCTCCTTTCACCCCAACGCCCAGTTGAATTGGGTAAAGTTTCGCCTTGGTTTCTTCCAACACCAAGATCAGAGCACATTTGCTGGCCAACCTTCTCCAAAAGTTACCGACCACAATAGGTCTAACTCCCCCATCTTTTTTTGTCAACGCTATCAAACGACCCCCGAAAAAGAAACGGCTGGCGGCGGATGGGCACGCGCCAGATAAAATTATGTTTATAAACTGTGTTAGGGAGCTTACAAACTCGTCAATGGGCAGTGGGCCTGAAATTAAATCTTTAATGTGCTGGGGCCTTAGGCAGTCAAGGCCTCCAGACGAACCATTCCTAAATGACTTCAGGGCTGACAACGTATACTATTTGATATTCATGAGTTTAAAAAAAAAAATTTTGGAAACGAAATAAAATTTGATAAAACCCACCAAACCACCATAAAATATCCAAAAAGCAAAAAGAAACAGTCCAAAACGTTAAAACCAATTTTAATAACCAAAAATTAGTCAAAACTAAAAACTAAAATCCCTAAAACCTTTAAAAACGCGAAATGTTACCAGCAAAATGTTTCAAGTCGGCCGGACCGTGTTGAGCTAACGAGATGTATGTATGTATGTATGTATGTATGTATGTATGTATGTATGTATGTATGTATGTATGTATGTATGTATGTATGTATGTATGTATGTATGTATGTATGTATGTATGTATGTATGTATGTATGTATGTATGTATGTATGTATGTATGTATGTATGTATGTATGTATGTATGTATGTTAAAACCAAATCGTGATGAATGACACCAAACAGTCAAACATCTGATTAAAAGGGTTAACACTTTAACGTATCGTTAGTCTCACACGTCGGCGTTTAAATTAATATTTTCCGACACACAAACACGCAGAAATCGCTGCAACAAACACGAGATGTGGTTTATTGCAAAAAAGAACTCTCTGTTGTCACCTGACCGAACACCAATCATTTTACACAATGTTTTAATAAATTTTGAAGTATTGGGGTCCATGGGTCCAAGGACCTCGATACATATTGGCAAAAAATCTATGGAAGGCAGGGCGTGTTCATATTTTTCAATTTTTTCGTCCGATGCCCTGATTGCAGCCAAACCACACTCTTTGCTGCTAAGGTGAACGTAGCGCTCGGCCAAGGTACCAGGAACCGTAACATCCCAAGCTAAACATTTACCGGCTCTCCAGGGAGTATGAGTACAACCGTCTGGTCGCTTGCCATGTTGCACTAAAATGCCAGATGGTTCCTTCAAAAAAGGAATAGAAGCTTTAGAAAAAAGCCGGCAAATGTAATCATTCAAAGCTGAATGACGAAGTTGACGGCCTCCACCTAAACGGCAAACCAAACCATGATAACCAAATTTGTCCGCCTCCGCGCCGCAACGACACAGATATTTATTTTGTATACTTAGGCAAAGTCTGAAACCAACGGCAAATCTAACAAACTCGTCATCGAGTCTGGTGCCTACGGAAGTGTTGGTCCACGACCTCAACCAACCACAACTAACATCACAAGTTGCAGCCAATAAGCGGGCAGAGGAAGAAGCACCGACACCAGAAGACAGAAGTTCATGAAAAGTCTTCTTATATTGCTCATCTAAAATTTGAGCTTGTGAAGAGCTTTCAGGTGTGGTCGGCAGTGGTGGGATGTCACAGCAACAACAAAATCGGCAAAGCAAGGCGGACTGGAGGTCAAGAGTGGCAGCGGCAAAAGATTTATAGACGATTGGTGCCAACTGAACCACACTAAGTAACCCCAGACCACCATACCGCACCGGCAGCTGAGCCTGGGACCAGCCACTGTCAGTCAAATGAACATTGCAAATGGCTGACAAGGCGGTACGCAAAACATCATCAAATCTGCCCAACAACGATGGGTTAATGTAGCTGGATGTACAAAGAAAATACATCATTTTGGGCAAACTGACGGCGCTTCGGACAATAGTCAGGGCATCGTGGACGGAAAGATGAGACACTCGGTCGAGGGCGAACTTAAGTTCTGAAAACTTTTTATCAAAAAATTTAATTTGGGAGTCACCCTCGAACAAGGGTGTGCCCAAAAAACTTAAATTTGATTTTTGAACAATGGTTACGTCCGCCAACACCGGTGGCAAATGTAGAATGTAATGAATCTATAAAATAGAGTTCACATTTATTGGTGTTTAACTCTAGCCCAATGGTGTTGGCTTCGTTTTTCAAAAATTCGTAGTTTTCGGCCAGTGTTTGGCTTTTTGAAGCAATGCTGATGTCGTCCAGGTAGCCACAAATGAAAACGGACGACAGTTTTTCCAACAAGGGATGCAGGGTCAATGCAAATAGAAGGGGTCTCAGTGGATCATCCTGTTGCACGCCCTCGGACGATTCAACCACCCAGGTGTGATAGCCAAGTGAAGAAGCGAGGCTGTAAGCAGAATGGCAGAAATTATATATTCTGGGACAGAAACATTTGACGGCCTCCAGCATTGAATCTCTTCTCATGGCGTTGAAGGCATTTTTAAAATCGATTTTTAGAAGTCCCCATTGATTAGGGAGGTCTGTGACCAATTTTCGAACGGCGTGAATGGCGGCCTTAGCACCTCCTTTCACGCCAACGCCCAATTGAACCGGGTAAAATTTGGCCCTCATTTCATCCATTACCAGGTTCAAAGCACATTTGCTCGCCAATCTACGCCAACAGTTACCAACAGCAATTGGCCTAACTCCTCCATCTTTTTTGTTTAAGGCTATCAGGCGGCCTCCAAAAAAAACGGCAAACCGTGGGTGGACAGGCGCTCTACAGAACCAAATTTACACATTTCGTTAGGGAAATTAATAGGTCATCAATTGGCAGGGGGGCCGAAAAGTAGGTCTTTGAATGCCGAAGACGCAAACCGTCGAGACCTCCGGACGAGCCATTTCCAAAAGACTTTATGACCTTGAGCACCTGGGTGGAAGAAACGCAACCACGTTGGTTCCTGCGCAGGAAAAGCACGCCTGTCAGTTGGTGTTTTTGGATGTATGAACCGTAGTTTTTCTAAGGTTTCAGGCGTGTTTCTGCCAGGCCCTTGGGCGAGCAGACAAGTCTGACGGCTGCTGAAACGTTTCCCTGCTCTATGCAAAAAGACACCGCATTTATCCACCGGTCAGGGTTGTGGCCGCGTGGATTTGCATTGATGTGGTTTTCAAAACCCGAGAGCAGGGACTTAACCTCAATCGTGGAGTATTCGGACAGGCGCTTGTTAATCTGGTTGCCTTGGTTGACCCGGCGTCCCCCTCTGGCAGGTTTTTGAAGGACGTATGGAAAAAACAAAAAAAGTCTGCACCGGTGAGCGGGATCACCGGAATCACAACAAACGGCCGTCAGTAACTCGTGCAGTGCATTGCTACATTTTTCTCTACATGGTTTTGGAATGTGATCGTGTAGTGGTACGCGTTTCAAAACAGCCGTCATCCTGTCAAAAAAAAGAGGGTAATCCAAACTGGTAGGAATCTCCGAAACTGATACGGACGCACCCATTATGAGACTATCGCTAGATGCGGCTACGTGAGGCGGACCGGTCACAACCTGTGGTGCATCCACCCTTTTCCACGAACCCGAGCATTCCTGGCCTTCCCTTCCACCATGACGGCAAAGTTTCCCGTCTGGTGTGATCTTGTAGTGATTGGAGCAAACAGGGCACTGGTGTAAAACCGGGGCCATACAGGTGATTTGGTGAGATAAGTAACTTTAACAAAACAAAAATTTAAATGAACTAAGTACGTTTAAAATTTAAAATACGAAATTATAATAAAATTCTAAGGTAATGGAAAAAATAAAGGTAAGTTATGAATAATAATATAGCAGCGCACAGTTGAGGCAGGTACGAAACAAGCAACAGCTGTGCGCTATGAATTAACCATGCCAATTAAAAAATTAAAAGCTGAAAAATCTAATTAAATCAACAAAAAACCAAGGCAAACTGCGACAACATGACGAGAAAGACTCAATCCCAGGATGATAACACGCAAAATAATCCAAAAGTTCATTAAAACAAAAGTTTAAAAACATTAAAATACAAAATTTAAATTGAATTCAGAAATCGGCCGGCGCAAGTGTGAGCTAACGATATGTATGTATGTATGTATGTATGTGTGTGTATGTATGTATGTATGTATGTGTGTGTATGTATGTATGTATGTATGTATGTATGTATGTATGTATGTATGTATGTATGTATGCAATGTTCGCGTGAACCAAATGCATGCGACTTAAAATTGCATATCCCTGTTTTTGTTCATAATTTTGCAACAACGCAGAGAATAAAATATTAAACAAATGAAAAATTAATTAAAATAAAAAATTAAAAGTAAAAAGATAGCGATTGATTGGTTGAATATTTGTGGGCATAACTCAGCGAAAGTTTGCAATGCGTTCGTGAGAATTAATGCTACAGAGGTCTGCTTCAGTTAATTTGCCGGCACGTGTGCTGGCCTCTAATTGAATAACATCGGCTACATCATTTCTTTAAAGTAATTCGTTTCCTTCGTTTATATCATCAATTCATCTCTTCAACCTCTTTTGGGAGTATCCCTCTCTTGCATTTCTATTTCTCAGACCTCATCCTTCTCTCCTTTTCTTCACCATTATAACTTCTTGATTGCCTTTGATGTCAATAAAATTTTGGAAAAAAATAATTTTTGTTTCCTTATCGTTATCATCATCATCCTCATCATCAGCTTCTTCATTATTATTGCTATTATTATTTCTTACATTATTAATGCAAAAATTTCGAAATAAAACTAAATTGATAGTATATGGCAAATGTTCTAATGTAATTTTGGTTGGAAGAGTTATTCTGGAACTACTCAGAAATTTCAAGCACGCTCCTCAGAAAATAATTATGAACGACAAGAAAGTAGACAGACGCACAGACATCATTAACCGGAAAACCAGTGATGAACTTCAAAGATATTAAAAATATGTGTGTGTATATACATATGTATATATGTATGTATGTATGTATGTAGGTATGTATGTATGTATGTATGTATGTATGTATGTATGTATGTATGTATGTATGTATGTATGTATGTATGTATGTATGTATGTATGTATGTATGTATGTATGTATGTATGTATGTATGTATGTATGTATGTATGTATGTATGTATGAGCAATTAAGATGTTTGCAAACAAGTCACCTTCAGGCAAATGCAGCCGATTCATCGTCAACTGACTACTCAATCAATCATGAGCCTTTGAGTTCAATAACATAAAGTTTGATGAAAATGTTGATAACAAGTTTAATTAATGTTAAATGTAAATAAAAATAAAAATAATGAATAAATAAGTTTTCTGTAAAAAATTAAAGTTCCTTATAAACTGAATTTTAAAGCAAGAATAAAAAACAATTTACTAAAATAATTTACTGTAAAAACGAAATATAGTAAAAAAAGTTCTAAGCAGACAAATTATAAATTGCCAAGAAACATAACAAATAACAAAATTAAACCAGTTACATATACTTACTACCAATAATCAAAATTGTGACAAATTTTTGTTGAAGAATTATCTTATAAAGGTTATAATGACGACTGTAGCATTACGACAATGATTGGAAGTTAACAACAGCAGGATATAAAATGTTTAAAATAGCAAAAAACCCATCCTCCACAAAAAGCAGCTACAATAACAACAAAGATAACAACAACAAAACAACATTCAATTTAAAATTACACCAACCAACAAACTGATAGAACGACCAACCAACTGACCAACTAACCAACCAACAAACAAACCAATCAACAAACAAACCAACCAACCAACCAACCAACCAACCGACCGACCGAACGAGCGACCGACCGACCGACCGACCGACCGACCGACCAACCAACCAACCAACCAACCAACCAACCAACCAACCAGCCAACCAACCAACCAACCAACCAACCAACCAACCAACCAACCAACCAACCAACCAGCTAACATTTTAAACAACTAACCAACCAACCAATCAACCAACTAACCGACTAATCAACCAACTAACCGACCAATCAACCAACTAGCTGGTGAACCAGCCATCCATTCAACCCACCAATCAGTAAACGTGCAAAATTTATTTTCATCACCTCATTATTTGCGAGTTCATTATATTTTTCTTTCATTTTTAATCTACCGTCGTTTAATTTCCGTTCAGGCATTAACTTACTTTCAATGCTTTCTGATTTGTAGTCAATAAATTGATCCTGGCAGTATAGTGAATGCACAAAATGCGAAGATGACCACATACACACGCACACACACACATACACACATAACCCCCCCCCCCACACACACACACAAACACACACACCTCACTAACTCACACATTAATAATGAAACAAACAATATCAGCAAAGCAGCAAACAGGACCAGAGAGAACAACAACAGCAGCAGTAGAGAATTTGACGTGTCTGACAAGAAATGACGTACAACATTCAGTTCCATGTTCTGCGTTCGAACCAGGGTCTGATCACTCAATGTCCAAGCGTCATTAGACATATTAATGCTTGCTAGCTCTCTTGCCAGTATTCTTAATATCTTTAACTTTTTTTTTATATAAAGAGCGATTGCGGGCCGTTGCTCCTTTAGTTTAGCTGTCTAAGTTGCGGTCGCTGTAGGATGTCTCAGTTGCAGTCGCCGTTGCAGTCTCAGTTGCGGTCGCTAGCGCAGTCGAATGGCTTTGAACGTTTGCAACAATTGTGATTGTGAATGTTGCAGTTGCATTCGATGAAGTGACTACAATTTTTTCCGTAGCTTCTTTTTGTAAAATATAAAATGTGCTGGTTTAAATTGTCGTTTAATTGTTTGTTTTAATTGTTTAATTGTTTTTCCAACTTTGCAACGCCCTTCTATTCAAAATAATTTACACTTCAATGAAAATTGATAGTGCTTTATAATTTGATTGCCTCCTTTACAGATATGGTTTAATCTTTAAATATTTTTCCAATTAGTCTTGTTTTCCATCAAAATTTTGCAATGTTGTTATTCAAAAACATATTTTTTCCGAATTGTTGTTTATTGAATTAATGGAGGTGTTTCAATATTATTCCATGGAATTCTTTATTAATTTCGTTGGCAGACATTCCAAAAATTTCTTTCTACTTAGTTGCGGGACACATGATGAGAGAGACATGGGGAGCATGAGATACCGTCGCGGCACACACACGCACACACACACGCACACACACACGCACACGCACACACACACGCACATACACACACACACACACACACACATGTGTTACAAATTTATGTCGATGAAAATTAAGAATAGTGATATTATTATTGTTTTTTTTATACTATAAGTTATATAAACCTAATGGTAACGTTATCCGATCTCCAACTTTCTTATTAGCGTTGCTATCAAGCTGTTTTGCTATTCTCAATATGCTAGTTATGTGTCTTATCATAAAATTTTTTATCGTTTCGATTATTTTTATTATTAATTTAAATTATAATATACAAAGTATAATAATAACTATAATAAAAAAATGATAATAGAATTAATTTCCTATCTCACCACATAAAATCTGTTAAACCGTAGTTGCAAACTACGTTGTTGTTGTGCTTGTTTCTGTTGTTGCTGTATGTTTTGTTGTTTTGTTGGTTGCATGCAATGATGTTGTTGTATGTTTAGTTGTTCAGTTTGTTGCATTGACGTTTCTGAGTGACTGAAATTTTTGAGAAAAATTATTGCACAAAAAATTGCTGTTTCAATGTTACTACAAAGTGTCACTAATATAAGAAAAACATACTATTTGAAATCAAATAAATAAAAAAACAAACAATTAAACAAAAAACATACAAATGGAAAGGCCAATAGAAGTGAAAAATATAGCAAAAATGTAGTTGTTTTGTATGTTGTAAAAATCTCAATAACATAATCATGCAAAATATTTGAGAAAATATTATAAAAGAAATATTTTTTTCTCGATCTTAATTTAAAAAAGATAAAATTTCAAACTACATTGATCCGTAAATGTTTCTACATTCGCAAGTTCTCCCTGCCTTCCACACTCTCGTTTAAATTTATTTCACTGCTTTCAAACTGAAAATATTTTTTAAATATTTAAAAAAATTTTTATTTAAAAATTTTGATAGTTCTTCATGACATCCAATCTTGATCTTTGACCTGTGTTGTAAAGTATTTATATAGAGTACTTATTAATCCCTGTGTTGTAAAGTATTTATATAGAGTACTTATTAATCCTGATAATAATTTTCGTTGCAGCATTGTTTGCATTGGAACATTCATGTTAATCGATCCAAATCCATTATATTAAACTTTATTTCAAAACATTTTTAATTTATTATTAGCTTAAAATGAAAAAACAGATGTTTAAAATTTAATAATAATAATCATTATTAAGCTAAAATATTTTTAGAAACAGAAATATAAAACAAAATTTGAAGAATTTCGAATAAATGTTTCTACGACAGCCAGCAACATTCCAAGACATCGAAGAGGACAACAGCAATACGGAAATGTTGATGGCGTGCAGCCGAATGTGGAATGTGGAAAACTTTGTCAAAATCCAATTTCACTTTTAATTATTTAACTGGAGTGCGTTATTCCCTTGTGCAAAACACGCGTTTTGCCATAAAGCATCTCATGTTGAGGCTGGCATATTTATATTGAGATTTGTGTTTGAGCCTTGTGTCTTCAATGCTTGAATCACCGTTGTTCATGGTGACGCTGATGTAATGTTAATTGGATGTTTATGATTATATGTTCATGTTCATATGTTTATATTAACGCTAACATGATAAATTATTGTTTACGTGTTTTTAAAAGTTTCATATTTCTATTGAAGCTTATGGGTTAGTTGAGATTAGTTGTGTGTGTGTGTGTGTGTGTGTTATCATGTTTGCTTCTGTGAAAATTCATTTTATTGTATACGAATCACAAGATTCAAATGTTTCACTTGTCCGTAAGATGATTTGATTTTAATTCACAGTTCATACAAATCTAGTTATTATTTAAAAGTTTTGCGCTGCGCGTTTATGATAATGTTCATGATGGTGGTACCTGAGATAAAGCTGACAAATTTATCTCAGTTTCATAATTTTAGGAAATAAATTTTTATACTTGTGATTTAATTTTAGTTTGGAAACATGTCTGAAATAATAAACAAATATAGTTACGTCGGCAAATTAGTTGAAAAATTTGAATGTGGATAATACAATAATTCCACACTTCAATAATTTTTTCAAATTTTTTAATAAATTTGCTCGTATTTAATATTTTTAATCAATCGTAATTAATATTATTCAATGAAAACATACCATAAACTTGAATTAACAACATTTGACAGTTGAAATGGTTGAAATATTTTCAGTTGCGTCAGTTGAGTAAAATAAATAATTAGAAAACATTTTAATGGCTGATTTACCGACGGAAGTTATTAAATTTCGCCGTTTTAAAAGTTTTTAAAAATGTCTTTTATTTCAAGCACTGACTGCCTGGACGAATGTGCAAGCAAGCTTGATCAGAATCTCATCTTGAATTCAATTTCCATTTAAGAAGATCTTTTGCACTGGCTGCTTTCATGATATTTCATTTTATTTTTACGTTGTTTTATAATGCATTAAGTTAATGTAATGCCTTTTTGCTTCTACGATTCATTCGAGTGTCTCACGTACAAAACTCGATACACCACTACTATAAGAAGATTAAAATGTTGGTAGTGGTAGGTGCGGTACAGTTAAATGAAAAAAAAACATTTTGTTTCGAAACTCAATTGTGTAATTTTATTAAGATTAACTTACATTTTTTTATTCAGAGTTGATTTTTTCGAGTGAATGTCATTGTCATTTAACTTAAGAATGGAATTTTAGTAAATTTTTTCTCTTTTTTTGTAGTAAAATTAAAATTATTCTTTACTAAGTTTTTTAATTTTTTACATGGAAGCTAACACAGTGAAAAACTTAATTCTTAATAAATATTATAGACATTGTATATAACAGATATACAATATAATAGTCTACTTTATAAAATATACACCGTTACACATTTGATACATTTAGATGGGTGGAACTTTCGTTAAAATTGATGAAATCAACGCTGCTCTCTATTGAAATATTGAAAATTACCTCGTTTTTTAATAATAAAAACATCTTAAACAGTCCTTTTACTGAAAATTTTATTTTCATGTTTATTTCAAACGTTGTTAGTGTTTGTTGGCTAGTAGTAGCCCAATTGTTCGAGATCTACAAGTTTGGAAAATTTGGAATGGTATACGCATGTCATGATTTTTATTAGTTTATTTCACGCTTTTACTAATACTTTGATATAAAAACCAATTTTCATAATAAAATTTGTCAACATTTGCTCTTGCTAAAGAGCCTTATCAATTATAAAATAAAAATTTATACATAAATTGTCAAACAATTTTGTTGTGAAGCTCCAAGGTGATTCCAGCTAGAACGGGAATTATAGTTGTAATACTACTAGTAGAAACAAAGATCATTTATATTAGCAGTAATAGTTACAGAAGTATTTCTAGTATATTTGATCAGTCATCAGTGATGATGAATGATGATAACATGATTTTGTAGAGCACATTCATCAGCGTTTACAATAAAACCACTTTCATTACCGTGTGATAATGCAGCACTGATAGTTATTGCGCTTTTAGAATCATAAATTATTGTTGAAGTTATTACTACCAGGGTCAACATAATCATTACAAACGTAAACGTCGTCGTCATCATCATTCTCATCAACAATATTGTCATTATATATCATCAGTAGTATTTTCATTGTCACCATCGTCGCCACACAACCAGCCAGCCAACGAAACCAACCGGACTAGCCAACCAACCAGCCAGCCAGCTACACATTCATCAATATCGTCGCCAGGACACCGCAATACGACAACAATAATAATACCGTCATGACACGAAACTTTCAAGTCATTTTGACGATGTCTTCATTACATGCACGTCACAACCAATCGTCTTCTAATATCTCATATCTGACTTCTGTTTCTTATTCACCGCTGTGTAGTAACAATTGGGGACATGTTCTATTGTTCGTTGGACCAGTTGGTCGGTCGGTTCTTATGTATTTATGATTGTATATCACATAGTGAAGCGTGACATATTTGTTTGATTTATTTATTTGCAATGCATAAAGTATTTTTCCATAATTTTGTTTTCGATCTCGGGGTAGAGCAGTTGAGGCGGTTGTTGTTTTTTTCCAAGGCGTCGTTGTGGGTTTTTTCTTTATAAACTCATTTTGTTGTTAAAAATAAATGATGAAAATAATTGTTGACGTGTATGAAAAACAGGTCGTGAAAACGGATGTCAAATATTTCAATGGAATGTCAGACGTGAAAATTAAAAAAAGTCTAAATATCAAAATTAGTAAAATTAATTTAAAATAAATTTTGAAAAATCCATTTCAAATAAAATTAACTTGAAAGAAATTCATTTCAAATAAAATTAACTTGAATTAAAATAGAAAAAAATTAATTTAAATAAAATAAGATTCGATAGAAATGAATTGAATTAGCGGAATCTGACACGAGGCACAGTCTACAATGGATTCATTCCTTAATTGATGCTACTTGGCGTCGGATCAATCTGCATAATTATACATCCCATCTATGCCATTCTAGTCCGTTCCATCATCCAAGCACATCTCATTCCATTAAATTAGACAGATCAAATTTAATCAATCTGAATTTTTTTTTAATAATTTTTTTACAACGGAATAATTAAATTGATGATAATTTTTTAATTAAGCGTTTATAATGTTAAAAGTAAATTAAATTTTGCGTGGTTTTTATATTTGGAGACAAAATTTTGCTACCGATTAATTTAAAAATGTCAATATATACTAATAAGTAATAATATACACTACACATCTATGTAGAATAGCGAGATTCATAATTTAAAATTAATATTTCATACATAAGACGAAAATGCTAAAAAAGATAACAACAAAGTAGTACGTCAAGAAAGGCAATGACGAAAAAATATATAGATACCTAAATATCCATTAATTATTTCTATTACTCAAAAAACAACAAAATATAATTTTAATTATTTTTAATTATATATTTATTACTATTATTTATTCACTAATAAGCCATAAATTTGATCACACCCATGCAATCTACGTCATCTTAATTAAATAAATTTTTGTATGCTCACATTTTTTTATGTTTCGATGTACTAATTTATAGTAACAACTTCTTATTCCTAAAAAAACTTTAGAAAAATTTTTTGTAACGAAAGTCTGAAGAAAATTTTTCCCTGAAATATTTTCAAAGAAAGCAGTGTTTCGGTTAAAACGAGATGTATTAACATTTAATGTTCCTGATAGGAATATTGCTTTCAACACAAAATTTACAAGTGAAAAAAGTTTCACTACTACTGCCAGCACTACCACTACTACTACTACCACTACCATTACCACCACCATCATTACTATTACAACAACAACAACAACAACAACAACAACAACAACAACAACAACAACAACAACAACTGCTACTACTACTACTACTACTACTACTACTACTACTACTACTACTACTGCTACTGTTACTGTTACTGCTATTAACAGTGAGCTAAAACTGATTTCATTGATATTAAACACTACTATTAAGGATACTATTATTACTACTACTACAGCTACTTTACTTAGTTTTCGTTCCTAACTAATTCAGTTTGATGTGTCTATATATATATATAAGATTATATCTGTCTGTCTGTATGTCTGTCTGTCTGTCTGTTTGCACATCTGTTTGTATGTCTGTCTGTCTGTATGTCTGTCTGTTTGTATGTATGTATGTCTGTTTGTATGTCTGTCTGTTTGTATGTCTGTCTATGGTACTACAAAGTTTAGTACACTTGTTTCAAATCTTGACTAACATTAACAAATAAAAAAAATTGGGCACTGTATTTAATTTGTTTAATACAAAACTAAGAGAAAAACATAGAATTGAAAATTAAATTTATATGCATCAAATTCAAATGAACAACGGCACGGGAGCGCAAGGGTTGATAGTTTATAGAATAAATAACGTCTGATGTTTCCATTCAAGACACGTCTGTCGACATCAATTAAGCGCTCGTAAATGTATCTCAGGTCATATCATTACTCCTGGAGTCTATATCACTAACTCCTGGTTATATACCTCATCATCACATCTCACTCCATTCATATCGACGTCTCGATGAAATTGTTGTGTGGGATTCTATAAATCGGATGATGATTTACATTTCACAATTTAGCAATCATTTAAGTATTCAAGAATAACAATAGAAATGATTTTTAAATCAAGTATGTATTAGGTAGGCTGTTTGTTTAGTTCTGTAATAACTTTTTATCTTCTGTCAAATATTTATTTCCTTGAGAGTTAAACAGAGTTCGAAAATTCTGAATATTAAAATTTAAACAAAAACTTGTCTCTTGGAAATTTTAACAATCTTTAATTAAAATTTGGAAATGTTTTAAAAATTAAAAAAATCGTTGATAGGTATTTAAAGGACCGTTCGTCCAACATTTAACAAAATAATAGCATGCGTAACTAAGCTATGGAGTGTTAATACTTTTATGAACGTATTTTGAAGCTGTAGAAATTTCATTAATAACTTTTGTTTGTTTCTCAACTTTTTTAATCTCTAATAATATAATTAACTATTTAATACATTTTAATATACATTAATATAATTAA